ATTGCAACAATGCAACTAATGCAACACTGCTTCCAAATACTGCTGCTGCTGGTTGTGAGAAATCATCTCAGATTGGACGGGGGCTATCTCCAGGCAGTTTGTCCCCTGTGGGGCATGAGGCTAGCTTGCATTGGGAACAACCACAACAGCAATAGCTCACCAATCCTGCAATTTTTTTCCTGCCGCCAAGGGTCTTGCAATCAGATAATAGCAGTTTTTTGTGGACCCCCAGTTGTGGACTGGATTGATGTCACTCAGCATGATTTGCAGGCATTCCATTGGTTGCTGGTCATACCCCACATCTGGGCTGTCGCATGTGCTCCAAGTTGCAGTGTACAGGTTCTATATGCACCTATCATTCTGTTTGATACTGTCTCAGTGCTTTAAACACATCACCCAACATTATTGGTCTAAAAGTTGGAGTTCTTGATTTTTTTCCTCTGTAAGAAAATAAATCTCTTGTTTATTGCACTGAAGTGTATTTTCTTGCTGAGTCTTGCTTGTGCTGTGCAGGTGAAATCCAGGTTTTGCTAGACTAAGTTAAGGATGTCAACGAGCAGTCTTTTTGGGTTTTGTATATTATCTGCCGTTGATGGTAAGGAATATAGGGGTACCTAGATATAGAGGTAGGTAGGTGTACATGGTATATTTTTTCTTTTTTTTATTACGTAGTATTTTATTTTATTAACCTTCCCAAGTCCTTGGTTTCCTCTTGTACATTGAATGGGCTCTTTTGTAAGGGGGTAAGCTATAATTTGTATAGCAAAATGTGTTCTGAGTAGTAGTAGTTCATTCCATTATATTATTGCTACTACTTTTCCTGGGGTAGCTTTAATTTCTATAGTAAAGGCAGTTGGAAATTGTATATATTAGTCCTGTAGTGTATATACAATATTATACATACACATCTCAATGCGGTTGTGATATTTTATGATTGCACTTTGGCTCGGGTATTTGTCGAACTTTTTCTTTTTCAGTGATTTCCTCTATATCCAGCTTAGATTATAGCTGTGTTGACAACTTATCGTCTTTGAGATATTCTTATAATTGTGTACTGCTCCTGTCTGCAAGATGTGGTATCTTCTCAGCGTAAACCATTGTAGTACTCTGCAGTCTGCAATCAGCTGCATGATTACATCGCCTTTTGAAAAGTTGTACTTTTGATGTAAATGTGAACAGTTGAAACTAAGGGCTCATTTGGTACCGGATTGTAGTTTCTGTTGTCTTTTTTTTTGTAACAAAAAACAAATCGGTAAAGCAAAAGCAAGGTTTCATTTTGTTTTGCATGTCTCGGAAGGATTTGTATATAGTCTGCCCAAGGGGAAGTCTTTCTTGAAGCTTGAAAGTGGAACACATTTCCTTTTGCTTATCCCGGTTCTGGAACCGGCTGGCCATGGTCATAACTCATAATGAAACCCCAACTCCCCAAGTAATTAGTAACAGTTATAATGATAACATTGATAGTCAGTATGGTGTAAAATTTAAATACAATTAGTGGTTTGTTTAAGCCTTTATGGTCTGGTCTGAATTGGTTTGATCTGGTAAATGTCTGATCTCTGTGTATTTTATAATTTATATTTTATAACTGTGGAAGTCTGATCTGGTTTTATCTGTTTAATTCCGGTCTGATTTGGTCTGGGATTGAAAATAGTCCAAGTAAAAACACCCTTATAGTCACTCTAAAAAATCATCAAGACACATCTTTATGTAGTATCTTTATTTTTGATCATGTATTAGCAATTATTTCCAATATAATACTGCTACCAATAATAACACTAAACATAATAATTTCTACTTTCATCTCATTTTGTGTATTCTATTTTAGTTTCGCATAATACTGCTACCAATAATAACACTAAACATAATAACTTCTACTTTCATCTCATTTTGTGTATTCTATTTTAGTTTCGCATCATTATTAATAAAGTTGTTGAACCAGTAAAAGTTGTGGTTGAAATTTGAGTATAATAAAGTGAAATGTTTCAGATCACATATTTCTTTTCAAAAAGAAAAAACGTGACACTTGTTTCGCGTAGATAGGGGTGGACCCGGGCCGGTTCCGGTTTGGGCCTGGGCCCAACCGGGCTTTTATTTGAGAAAGGTGGAACTGGAATCGGCCCGGGTAGCCGACGGTTCCGGGCCGGCCCGGCCCAAACTGGGCCGGTTCCGGTTCGGGTTTATTTTTTTTAATTTTCTTTTGCTTTTGTAATCAACTCCCGACCCCCCTTCACCCCACCACTCCCCGAACCCCCCAAAACACCCAACCCAACTCGGTAGAATAAAAAAAATTGAAAAAACAAAAAAAATAAAATTAGGTCGGAACCATGCCCGGACCGGCCGGGCCTGTTTGCGTTTTAGGGGGCCTGAACCTGCACCGAAAATTGACCGATTCCGGTTGGCCCGAACCGGCTCCAAGACCGGGTACCGGGCCGGGCCGAGTCCACCCCTACGCGTAGAGGGGAATTACCCAAAAAGGAGGGTAGAACATGTAAAATGAGAAAGAGGGGAGTATTAATTAAAAGTAGTAAAACAAATCAAGAGAGAAGTTCCTTCGTTTCTCTGCTTATGTATTATAAAGCGTATTCAATGTAAATAGAGCATATTTAGTGTAAATATAGAATTGGATTTGAAATTTAGTATTCAGTTCATTAGGTAACCTTTCTATAATATTTTGGAATCGATGCTTTAATGCGAGTTTTAGAACTAGATAAGATCTTTCCAACAATATATAAAATGTTTGAAATGGAACAAATTATAGGGATCAAATACTACACGAATTCGGAGTGAAATTGAAAATGTTTATGACTTTCAGGTTAATATGTACCTTGTCCTTAATACATTGTAAATGAAATAGGAACGCTAGTTTTAGAACTCAAAATATCTTTTCGACGAGATATAAAATGCTCGAAAAAAATCAAATCAAATCCATAGACTGTTTTTGTAATATGCGTATAAGTAAGAAGTTGTAAAAAAATGATAATGATACCAATGAATGAGAAGAAACAATTATCATAAAAATATCTTAGGAAATTCAAAGCACCCATAGTATATATACTCCCTTTGTCTCATTCAAAGGTTTCTACTTTCCTTTTTTGGACGTCTCACATTAAGGTTACCATTTTCTATTTAGGAAACAATTAACACTCTTAAATAATAATTTAATAATCAAATAGTAATAATAATACATTTATAATGTCACAATTATCATCAATAAAATAATGGGATATTACCCAAAATAGGACTAAAAAGGTTTGAAAATTCCAAAATATGACTCACATGTTTTTATTCCCAAAATAGGACTAATTACTGTCATGTTTTGGCAGTACCAGAATTCAAACATGGCAGTATTTTCCAAACTTGACAGTAATTACTCCTATTTTGGGAATAAAAAACATGTCAGTCTTATTTTGGAATTTTCAAACTGTTTTAGTCCTCATTCGGGAACCTTTCCTAAAATAATAAATCATCATATTAAATACTCATCAAAAATATTTTTCAAACTATACTTGAATTATCATATTTAATTATTGTCTAAATAATCGTGCAATTTTGACACATGAACCTTCGAACGGGTGGGTAGTAATAAGTGCTCAAGTGATCTATATTACGATTGTCGGTGCCTCAGCTCCCTCCACAACAGTGTGGGGAGGGCATGCAGTTCAACATCATGGATGTCCTTGAGTGCACGCATCCCTTCCTGCACGTTTGTTTGTTTTTACTTCTAAATGTTTGTTTGGATAATACTATAAAGTTTCAACATCATCCCTTCATGTTTTTTACTCTACAATGAAGATTTTTGGATCATGAACCTGACACCTCCATCTTTCTTTTCCCTTTCTAGCCTAATTTTGAAAACAATTTTTGAGTTTCACAGGGTCCTACAGGTATTACATACCGTTTTATTCTATACTCCGTACTTTTTATTATAAAAAACAATAACACATCTTTGTTGGTTTTACAATGTATTAAATTTAAGTTAATTTTTTTTAGGAAATTTACTCTAAAAAACTACACACTAGTTAAACATTAATCAGATAATGTGAAGTGAATTACTGTGACATTAAAATTATACAATTCATTGTACGACTTATACAACAAATTTTAATAATCATGTTTTTTTTATCAATGTATTTGCTAACATTCTAATTGTCAGGATTACTTGGACTTAATTTGCTGGTCTGATCTGGTCTGGTTTCTTTGTATTTTTATAACTATCCAAGTCTGGTCTGATCTGGGACAAATTACAATCCAAGTAAAAACATCCTTATATGTTGTCCTTATTTCTTTAAATTCTGACGAATGACACATAGCATAAGAAAGTAATATGTGTGATTTAAAAGAAATAGAAATAGTATTAAGAGTAAATTAATTATTTTAATTGAAAACTGATCACAAAGTAATTTGGAACACCAAAATAAAGGAAGTTCGCATGGTTTAGTGGAAGGAGATGGAACACCTCAAATGCTCAGAATAGTGCTCATCATTCCAACAACCCCATTTTCCTGTGGACAAAAACCATTTTGATGGAAATGAAAGAGGCTGCAACAAGGAATATTTTTCACAAGGTTGTGGGCTGACTACTTCGTTGTATTCTTTAACAAACAATTTCATGCATTATTTATTTGTCTAACATACTTGAGGTGTGTTTTTTATTGCTTAAAGAGTAATTTTCCGCTTTTTGTTTAAAAAATGCTAAATGTTGTATGTTCAAATTGATGCTTCTACTTACCTTTAAGGACTTTAGATTTAAAAGATATACTCCTTTATACTTTTTATATAAGATATTACCTAAACTATATAAATAAATTATACACCAAAAGTACTTTTTTACCGAACACTATAACTTTTACTTTTTAAAAGATATAAACTCCTGCCAAATATCTTGTGGTCTGATAGCATCACTGTGACACTTTCAAGGAGGAGGTCGCAAGTTCGAATCCCATCCCAGTTCAAGGATGTTGGCTTAACATTGAACAAATACTATAATAGGTTAGAAAGAATTGCACAAAAAAAATATAAACTCCTTTATACTTTTTATATAAAATTTTACCTAAACTATGTAAATATATAATACACCAAAAAAGTACTTTTTTACCGAACACTATAACTTTTACTTTTTAAAACTACATCTATCTGCATACACAACCAACATATACAATTACACATTTTCCCTATAATCTATGAAATAAAACACTTCTCACAGGAACAAGGAAACACTAACACTGAATAAATAGAAGGGTTTAAATGTGTACAAGAATTATATATATATATATATATAAAGATGTGAGGTATGCATGCATATTAATTGGCAAGTCCAGCAGAGGCATGATAAGAGAGCTGGATGTTGTAGGCTTCTGTGAGCTCAGCTAACACTTCTGCAATATTAGGCCTTCTCAAGGCATCCCTCTCTACAGACCTGGAAGCTATCAAAGCTGCCCTTTTCATGCTCTCTTCATCAAAACTTCCCTTTATGCTCTCATCTACTATCTCAAAAGCACCAGCTTGCAAATATGGCTTCGCCTGAAAATCACCCCCCAAAAGAATCTATAAGCTTCTCTTTTGCATACTAAGTGAAAAAGTTATTTGAGTTTAAATAGTCAGCTTTTACCCATAGCACTAAGTTGAAAGAATCTGGCGTGCCGGAGTGATCCAGTGGTTCTCGGCCACATATGAGCTCCAGTAGGACGACTCCAAAGCTGTAGACATCACTCTTTTCGGTAAGTTGGTATGTTGTGTAGTACCTGTTGTTGGTATGAATTAGTGAGTCAATGAGTGAATCTATAGAGGAGAAATATGGTGGTAAAGCAGAATCTTGTAATGTACTCTGGATCAAGATAGCATCCAGCTGTGCCTTTGAGAGCAGTGGTGACATGAGGACTTGCATCAGCCTGAAGGACTTTCTTGCAAAGTCCAAAGTCAGAAATCTTGGCATTCATATCCATGTCCAGAAGTATATTGCTGCATCTCACATCGCGGTGTATGATGCGTGGATCGCTCCCATTATGCAAGTAATCCAGACCTTAAGTGACAATAACACTACATTAAAGTCCACAGCAGACAAGTAAAGAGAAAATGATGAGTTAATATAACCTTGGTTTAACTAGCTAATCGATGGGAATCATTTTTTTTCGGTGTGGTTTAGCCCAAGTGCCTTGTAGCCAAGTTGAGTGACCCCTGACTCGTACTACGTATCAACTTAAGTTCTACAATATGTGTATATTAACACACCTTTTGCAGCATCTATAGCTATTTTGAGTCGGCGCACCCAGCTCATTGTACTTTTTTTACTATTTGCACCTGAAATAATGAAGGGAATGGAATTATGACACAAAGGAAAAGGCTATCAGTGGATTTAAAATGTGTATGTCGTCTGTCCAAATGAGAAGCCTACCATGAAGGTTATCTTCCAGTGATCCTCCTGCTAAATACTCATATACTAGAACTTGCTGCTTCGATTCCTGGCAAAATCCTTCTAAAGAAACTAGATTTTGGTGGCGAATTTGCAATAGAAGAGATGCCTATAATCAGAGATAGGACATGAATGTATTCAAACTTGGGTTCGTCATAAATGTCAACTACATCTGACTTGGACTAAATCTATGTCCAAGACTTTAAATGTTGGTTTATGTGTTTATATTTATTTGATGCGAGATTATCTCCTAACAACCTAACTGTTAAGCTAATAAAGAATCCGGAAAATCACATATTCTTTGTATGAGAGTATCCTTTTTCTTTTCTTTTCTTTGTGGTTTATTCAGAAAAATGTCATAATGCACTTGTTCCACACCACCTAAAATGTTGGGTTCTGTTTATTAGCTCACTCATTCAACTCAATATCTTATTAACTAATCCCACCATTTTCTCTTTATTTGTCAGGTGTGGGACTCTAACAGTACAATGATAGATAACAGACCTGATTGATGAAAGAATCAGCCCCAATCTGAGTTTTAGCATACCGCACTTTGACAGCAACTTGTTTACCATCACGAAGCTTGCCAAAATAAACCGGTCCAAAGCTGCCACGGCCTATGACTTCTTTGAAGTTGTTAGTTGCTGTCTTGATCTCTTTATATGATATCACTTTTGTAGCATACAAATTCTTCATATCAATTCCACCTCCTGAAGTTTATATGAAAAGTTGCAGTCCAAATTTTGTAATAAATAAAAAATAGGGAAAAGTACGGAAAAGGTACTTGTGGTTGGGCCCGTTTTCAGATAGGGTCATGTGTTTCATTCTTTATCAAAGTGGTTAATGTGTTTGAATTCCGTTATCACAAGAAGGTCACGCCGTTAAAAACATCTGAAAAGACAGTTAAAAGTAACTCCGATTTTCAAAAGTGCTCGGAAAATTAAAAGAAAAATACCGAAAGGTGCGCCTCATCAAGATGACCTACAAACCACTTTCGCCTTTGGATTTTTCTTATCTGTTTGAATTATTTTTTAAAAATGATTTCACTAATATCACTTTTTCGGTGGACTTTCCGGTGACAAGGGTGGCTGAAAACAACAAAGGAAGATGGCCTAGCGGTCGTCTTATTAAGGCACACCTTTCGATATTTTTCTTTTAATTTTTCGGACACTTTTGAAAATCGGAGTTACTTTTAACGGTATTTTTCAGAGGTTTTTAACGGTGTGACCCTCTTGTGATAACGGAATTCAAACACATGAACCACCTTGATAAAGAATGAAACACATGACCCTATCTAAAGACAGGCCCAACCACAAGTACTTTTTCCGTACTTTTCCCTAAAAAATAACATTCTTACTCAAACTCTAAATAAAACTAATTTGTTCATACTTGATGCATATGTATATCTTCTTTTCTTCTGTCTCGTGAACAAAAAAACTGCAAATAAAAGTAGACAAATGGAAAACACAGCTCCTCCAACTGCACAAAGTATAAGTGTTAATTTCTTTTGGCCTTTGTGCTTCTTAGGGGTTAAGACTGTGACTTGTGGCGTCTCCATTGAAGTATTGATGGAAAAGTCATTGCAGAAAGAAGCCGTGAAGGAAAGACATAGATTTCCTGATTTTCTGCAAGAAATGAAAGTATTGTCTTTCTTTAATATTCAACCGATGTGGGACAAATTCTTCAACATTAACGTACTTTAAGTTCCATACCGGACTTTCAAACCCTTTCTATCCAGAGACCTTGGCAAAGGGCCTTGTAGCTTATTGTTTTTCAGGTTCCTAAATGTTACGGAATGAGAAAACAATTCAAATAAGGTTTTGGAGGAAAGATGGATGGTTTTCCACTTGCACACAACTTACAGTAAGTGAAGCTCCTTTAACTCTCCCAAGTCATTAGGTACTATTCCATGTAAACTATTGTTCTGCAAGTCCCTTAATTTAGAAACAGAAAGTGACGCTTATTTAGTAATCAGTACTAATAACCATTTGACAGAAATTACATTTTATCCTCAATGAAAGATCAGAGGGCTTACAAAACTTGAAGGTTTATCAAGTCCTCCAAATCAGAACCAAAAGCTGTTAGTTGGTTGAAGCTTAAGTTCCTGCAATGTTGTACAAGAATCTTTAGGCTATGTTTGGGACACTGAAAATAGTAGGGGAGGGAAAAATGGTTGGGAAAATTAATTTATCAATTGATTTAACCTTGGAAAATGTGAATGAAATTTGGGTTTGATTAGAACTTTTTGAAACTGTACGTATATTTAGATTGCTTTCTTTTTATATACATAGTAGAAATGCATTAATAAATTGAGTTTGAGATGGATATAAAATTGATTTATTGAGTTTGGCCCATTATATTATTGGGAAACTGGAAACTAATAATCAAACCTTTTAGAAGTTTTCTTACAATAGTCCCACCTTTTCGTTATTCAAGAATAATCCAACCTTTGCACCCCATCTTCATTCGCTGGTCCCTGACCGGTTAATGACCTGCTATTCCAAGTTATTTTCTTATCTTTGCAAAATATTATCTTTGTGAAAGGTGAGATTTATGGTATAATGGTTTGCAAGGTAAGAAGATACTCCCTCCGTCCCCTTAAGTTTGTCCCGTTTTACTTTTTTCGTCCGTCCCATTAAGTTTGTCTCATACCATATTTGGTAACATTTGAGTGGTTAGAATTCATTCTTACTTTATTTACACTTTATCAATTCAATACCAACCACACAATTCCACTTTTTCTTAAAAACCACACCACACCTCTCCGTCCCAAACTTAGGGGGACGGAGGGAGTAACTTGGAATAGCATATCATCAACCGGTCAGGGACCAGTGAATGAAGATGAGGTGCAAATGTTGAATTATTCATGAATAACGAAAAGGTGGGACTATGTAAGAAGACCGCTAAAATGTTGGATTATTAGTTTCCATTTTCCCATTATTATTTTCCACCCATATTTTCTTTCCTTCCAATTTTTTTTCCCACTTTCTTCTACACTTCCTTTTCCTAGCATTTTTCGTATTCCAAATCAACACTTAAGGTGACATGATAGAAAGTTAATACTTCGTATGAAACTAATAACATTTCTGGAAAGTCATTATATTTGAAGTCCAGCTCAGAAGACATACAGGTACTTGAGATGCTGAAGGCTACCAAGATTTTGTATCTCCCCAGTGAGTGAAGTGTTATGCAAATCTCTGCACAAATGTAACTGTGGTTCTAATTTATTTTCACCAAAGGATATCATATATAGCAGATAATTAACATATGATGAAGTATTACAGATATTTGAGATCCAGCAGATCACTGAACGTTGGACCGATCGACCTCAAATCAATGTCAGTTAGCACCCTGACCATTAAATATCAGTACCAAGAGATTTTCAACAAAGAAATGCTTAGGGTATTTTGGATCTCAGAAAATCCTGTGGAAAGAAAAATAAGTCCAATGAAGGTTTTTGTGTGTGGGGTTTTATCTCAGAATATCCAAAAGAAAATTAAATATGGGTAAGATTATTATTATTTTTTTTTTATTTTGCAAAATGTTAGGATATCTTAATGTTGCCTTAAAAATATAAATTGAGTTTGAACAAATATAAATAAATATTTTAGCTTGAATCTATCTTTTATCCCCTCTACGCGTGCACATTTTGGTAAATAGTGACAAATATATGACTGAAATCAAATTAATGATATTTTTTAGGAAAAATTGATAGTAATAATCCCAACTATTGGCGGTCCGCCTAAAATAATCCTAATTATCGATTATTTCAGAATAATCCCAACTTTAGGGACCTTCCGCCAATAATGATCCCTATAAATAAATTGTTGTAGTTTCTAAGGTGGATGAGAAGAGATATAACAAGTAATCCCTATAAATAATCCCAAGTTTTAATTTTTACGCTTAATTTCTATTTCAAAATTCACTTTTTATAGGAGGTAATATTTGGTCATGGACCATTATTGGCGGACGGTCCATATAGTTGGGATTATACAAAAATAATCAATAGTTGGGATTATTATCGACGGACCTACAATAATTGCGACCAGTGTCTCATTTCCTAGTGACTTTTGGTTAGCATAATGATATTCAATTTCATTTTGCAGCACCCATGGTGGATTTTTTTTTTGTTCTAGTGATCACGATGTCAAATTTTGTGTATGAGATTTGTTTTAATAAAAGCGCTATGTAAAACATCATTATTAATTTCCTTCAAAAAAATTCCTTTATTTTCCTCCCTCGCATTTTCTGAGTTCCAAACGGACCCTTGGGAAAATACAATATGTGGGCAAAAGTTTGTTCACTGACAATGAGGTAACCAGATTCCCTTCACATTTCAAGTGATCCCATGTTATTGGAGAACATGGGTCAAATTCCCAGTCAAGATCTAAACCAGTGGACTGCCCAATAACCTCAAGGGCTGAAACTGCACAAAGAATTGAAACCATAAATCAGGAGACCAGTTTGCACTTCCAGACAAGAAAGCTAAGAAAATCAAGAATCAAACCAGTGGTGGAAGAAGTTTCCCATGGAATGTCTAGGACCTCATAAATCTCAACCCCATTGAGCAAAGGGTAGTAGTCAATAGTCCTCAATGAGACACTCAGGCTAGTGTTTCCTGTAACTGTAAACACCAGACTGCTGACTTCCCATCGTTTGACCGTGTAGTTTGACCAAAAAACATCCCCATTGATCAACACATCAAATGCTGGGGAGAGTGGAAGGATCCCAGCAAAGTAGATGACTATATAGTAGTCTCCTTGGTGATCAAGAGGGAAGGTGTAAGTCAAGTCTCTCCACCTGGCCAAAACCCTTGCAGTTTGAAGAACAGCTGGTGGAGGGTTCTCATTCAGACCAGTCCCATTCACATATTCTTGAATATCAAAGCCAGATGAGACGTGAGACGGGGTAAAATCCTCATCGGCTTCCCATATTCGGTCGTACTGATCAACTGGATATCTGGCAGGTAGATGTTCTTTTTGTTAAAAAGTATCAGATATAAGCTAAATATGAATTAATTATTGAATGAGCCATTTATAAATGCTATACAATGCTCACATTTTGAGAGCTTTTTTAGATTGACTTAGCAGAAGACTATATATGGAAAAAGTGCACAAACTCAAAGAAGTTACCTTCATTTGGTGTGTGTGCCCTACATAAAAGATTACACAGTTACACCGTCTAGACCGACGTGTATGATTAGTTGATTAAGTATCTCATATCAGGTAAATTAAATAGACAAGACTTTAGGTTGAACTAGGTAATGAATTAGATTCATGATTCATCTTTTAGTATGTTTCGGTCTATAACAAACATAATCCTAAGTTCTATGAGAAATTTTCTAGAGAATTGTAACTGTAAGAGAGTCAGAGCTCATACCTTAGTGCTGCATTATAACCAGAATTGATCCTATAACATTTTCTCAGCAACTTATTGAGAGTACCACCCAGACCACTCGAATAAGCTTCATTCGGAAGCGGCCTAAGTTCGAGAGATGAAATTACAGGGAAACCACTGTCTGGAAAAGAGTGAAAACACAAAGGCAAGACGTCCTGATCAACTTTCCAGATAAACTCTTCGGTCCACGGATCATCATTCTTGAGATTAATAGCCCGAACGATGGCCCTCCCGAGAGAAACAGAGAATGATGGGGGGCGGTTAAGCCCATCATAGTTCTTATACACAAATCTTGTCCTAACCAGAACCGTGACAGACGTATTGTCCAGAGGCAATCTGTAACACTTTCTGGCTTGGGACTCAGGAAAGAACCGGACCGGTAAAGAGGAACCATCAAGAACATTAGCAGTTGTAATGTTGCCAGCAGAAACATAAGCATCATCTGGTATCCATGAAATGTTCAAGGGGTCCACATAACTGGTGGTCCCACCACATGATAAACTCAAGAATCCTGTCTCATTTACAACAGAAAATGAAAAACTAACTCATACTAGGTATATTGAAAAAGGCAGAAGCTTTAGGTTCATAAGTTTATTACATACCCTCTTGATCACCAAAGGAGAATTGGATAAGTAGTGCAAAAGAGAGGAGACAGAAGCATGAATGGGGGTGGAAGTCCATCAAAGAAACTTAAAACAGTTAAATGTAAGGCCAAAGTGATGAAAATATTCTAGTAAAGATGGAAGCAGCAGTAATATGGGATTGCTATCTTTTCTTTTTCAAATTTAAAAAGAAGTGTAAAGAAGAAGTTGGAACCAGCAGAGTGGGGACAAACTGAAGAGATTTGAGGGGGAAACTGGCCCTCCCATTTGTGTAATAAAGTATTATTTGTTGCTAAACCGTAAAGATGAAGTTGGGAGCAAGTGAAAGCAACAGTGTTTGGTGTCTTTAACGGTCTGAAGAAATGATGATGTCTAGCTTGCCAGTTTCTCACCATGGTCGTTTGCATGTGAATCAACTGAATTAATTTAAGTATTTTTAACCAAATAAGAATGAATTTATTAAGCTGGAAAATTGTATTCTCTATAATACACTTATGGAAATTTGATTTAGCTTCATGGTATAAAAAGGCAGATATGAATAATTCAAAACTTAAAACTGGGTATAATTCTGAATCAGTAAAATTGCTTGTAGATGTGGTTTAAATAATAGTCATGATTGATGTACAACACATTTGTGTTTACACAAACATTATTTTTGTCTAGACTATAACATTTTTGTTTGTTACAACATTTTTTGTTCACACAAACAATTATTTGGAAAGTTGATCAGGACGTCTTGCCTTTGTGTTTATCCGTAAATAAGCAATAGTTGCTTATTTTGTTCTCAAACACATAATTCTCATAACACAATCTTTTGTATGAGCAAAAAATCGTGTTTATATGAACAATAAAACGAGTACAAATCGAAAAACACAAGTACCATATCCAATTCATTTGCTGAAATAAGTAAAGGTCAAATTTCACATTAACCAAAAGAATTATACATCCATTTCACTAAAAAATGATGTGTTTCCAGTCGAGTATGGGCAGGGAGAAGAAGCGGAGAGAAAATGGAGAGGAAGACCTAAACATGAATTACGGGGTCAGGAGTGAGTTTATTTTTTAGGTTGGATGAGAGTATTACTTTACTGCGCAGAGAACGAAGTGAGAATACTCGTTTAGATGATTGATCTTATTTCATTTTTTAAAGAGAAAATTACTATTAGCCCCCTGAGGTTATGTCATAATTATTAATGCAACCTTGCATTTTCAAAAATCAATTAGTTACCCCCGAGTTCGGATCATTCTCACTATATGCCCCCTCATATTAATATTTGTTAAATTAAATTTAATATTACTCTTAAATTCAATAAAAGTTGTTTATAAAATTATTTTTTAAAGTATAATACAATTTATTATCATAATTATAAATCATTGTTGTTGATCGATATTTTTCTACTTAGCTATTTGATCATGGTATACGTATTAATGATAGTAGTTAAGAGAAAGACTCACGAGTAACGTTCATGGGCTTCATCAAATGAAATTGCTTAAAAACGTGTTATCAAAATTCTAGGCACTTTTTCATCATGAATACAAAATTCTTATTTGATATTCACCCGGTTGAATTAATATCAATGACATTTTTTCGTGTGTAGGAATTTTATCATTTAAAGACCTAAAAGATAGGTCTATTATTGATATTTAATTATTTAAATTGAATAAATTAAAATTTATCATATTTATATCTTACTCATGAGTATTTTCCCTTAACTACTCTCAATAATATTTATTCCACGATGAAATAGCTAAGTAGAAAAATAACGATCAACAATAATTACTTATAATTATAATAATAATTCCTGTTTTACTTAAAAAATAATTTTATAGATCATTTTCATTAAATTTAAGAGTTATATTAAATTTCTAAATTTATTTTAACAAATATTAACGTGAGAGGGGCAACGAATGAGAATGAACAAAACTCAGGGGTAACTAATTGATTTTTGAAAATGCATGGTTGCATTAATAATTAATAATTATGACATATATAACCTCAGGGGTCAATACTAATTTTCCCTTTTTTAAATCTTCTTAGATTCCTTAGTCTTTTTTTATCTTTTTATCTTTACTTTATCTTTACCTTCCTCTTATCTGGTTTTATATTTTATCTTTTTTTATCTTATCATAATCTTTTTTTTTTCCTTTTTTGCTTTGATTTTTTTTATGTTGATTCATATTAAATTAGTTGATCCCAAATTTTTTGAGAGTAAACCTTGGATGTTGTTACTATATCTGAATTCACATTACAAAGAAGAAATACAAAATCATGTACCAAACACTAGGATTAGCTGTTTGACTATCAAACCAAGTCAATCTCAAAAACCAAAAAGGACTGATGGGGCACGCAAGTATTAAAGACTCATAAAAATCTGAGGTTCAATACTTAGAGATCATAATGAAAAACTATCCAAAAACTAACATGTTGATTTGAATATGTATTTATATAATTATATTCAAATGGAAATGATGAAACCCACACCACAAAAGGAATTTTTTACACTTCGCTTTAAAAACAATTTGTGGTCATTTTGTTACCTTCAAGATCAAGGAATTGAACAAATTTCAACACAAATAATAGCAAAAACAGTCCAATTCAAACGTCCCAGGAAAGTGATATAAAGTGGTCGGTCGTGCACTATCCGTTGAGCATTGTTTACCGTTAAAGAAAAACATGAAGTGAAGTTCTCGTGTCACATTGTGACATTTGTTTTTTTCAGTTTTTTTTTATTGTTGTGTAGAATAAGCCATAATTAAGTGATGACCATATAGGCATATACATTAATTCAACGGTTTTCAGTTGATTCCACCCGAAGGCACAAATTGGGATTGCTTTTATGCAAGTCATGTAAGATTTTTGTGCAAGATTTTTGGATAGTTTTTCAAATCTATCCTTCATAAAGTTTCTTTTTGGTTAATAGCTTCAAACTTAGAAGCTACTTCGTATTAACCTTTATTGCTTATAATGTATGGACTCATTGCTTTCATTACTTTTATCCAAGTCACTGAATTAAAAACATGAGTTAATGTTTAAAATTAAAAAAATGACATACATATTACTAATAGAGTTTTTCAAGACGAAAATATGACTAGTTATTTTTGTTGGAAAAAAATATGACTAGACACTGTGTACGAGTCGCTGTGAACTAGTCACTATAGTGTATTTCAAAATGACAAGTCACTAAATATGTCACTTTTTTGGAAATTTTTAATATAAATCATATTTTTGTCTTTTGAATTTAATTTAAAATATTCATGGGAAAAGGCCTATAATCTCAACTGCCCCTGTCCCGCTATAATTGTCCCATTTTTTCTTTTTCGTCCATCCCACTAAATTTGTTACATACGGAGTATCATATTTGATAATGTTTGTGTGTCTCTAATACATTCTTATTTTATTTCTACTTTATTAATTCATTAAAAACCACATAACTCAACTTTTCTTAAAGAACGCACTACTCTCCCCTTTGTCCCAATTTTAGGGGGACAAAGGTAGTATACTTTAGGGGTTTAATGCATCAAAAACGTTCATAATATACAAAGTGAAGATTCCAATAGAGTCCAACCCCCTATTGCATGTTCTAGAGCACCTAGATAAAGTGAAACAAAATAGAAAATCAAGGATGATATGGGCAGAACAGAAGAGTGACACTCAACAATGGGGAGAGCACAGCAACAGTCCGGCTGCAATGACGAATTGGATGTCACGGCAGAAAGGAGCCCAGACTGAATCCAAGAAAACTGATGAAATGGCCCCTAGGATGCCTAGAAACCTATATACTATTATATTGAAAGTTCAAGAAACACGGTACAAACAACGCTATTTGGATCTGATGCTGAATCCGGAGATCCAAAATTTCATTAGAAGTTTCCTTAACAATCTTGACTTCCTGGAAGTTGAGACTCCCATGATGAATTGCTGGAGGAGCATCCGCACGCCCATTTGTTACTCACCACAATGAATTGAATATGAGGCTTTACATGCGCATTGCACCTGAACTCTATCTTAAACAGCTAGTCGTTGGTGGACTGGTACGAGTCTATGAAATTGGGAAGCAATATAGGAATGAGGGTATTGATTTGACACACAATATTCTGAATTCACTACCAGTGAGTTTTACATGGCTTATGCAGATTACAATGACTTGATGAGCCTTACTGAGAAAATGCTTAGTGGAATAGTGGGATGGTGAAGGAGCTTACAGGTGACTATATAAGCAAGTATCGCGGAAATGGCGTGGATAAAGACCCCATTGAGATAGACTTACTCCCCACCTTTTAGAAGGATTGATATGATCAAAGAGGTAGAGAAAGTGGCAAATCTCAGTATACCCAAGGATCTTGCTAGTGATGAGGCTAACAAGTTTCTGGCAGATGCATGCACCAAGTTTGAGATAAGATGTGCCCCCCTCAGACTACATATAGACTGCTTGAAAAACTTGTAGGGCACTTCTTTGAAGAGATGTGTGTTAACCCAACTTTTATCATCAACCATCCTGTTGAAGAGATGTGTGTTGTTAACCCATCTTTTATCATCAACCATCCTGAAATAATGAGTCCGCTCGCGAAATGGCATAGGTCTAAGCCTGGGTTGACTGAACGAACTTTGCAATGCATACACTGAGTTGAATGATCCTTTTGTTCAACGTCAACGCTTTACTGATCAGCTCTAAGACCGGCAATCTAGTGATGATGAAGCAATGGCTTTTGATGAAACTTTCTGCACAGCACTTGAATACGGATTACCACCTACAGCTGGATGGGGAATTGGTATTGATCGACTTGCAATGATTTTGATCGAGTCACAACTCATGATACCATTTTTCAAGCTGATGATGGAGATGGATTTGAATGATTTACTTCAAATGTTAAAGAGTTTCATATGTATACTATTTTTTTGATGATTTACGTTTTCATGCACAAACCGATTGCCTTCATGTACACTAGACTATTAATTCCTACCATTTAGTTTTTGACAACTCATCATGTTTGTTTGATTTTGGGAATTTTACTAAAATTGGACAAAACCTTACCATCAAAACCAATAAATAGCACAGATGATATTTTGCACATATGCCACGAAAGTAATTGGTACGTTATAAATATAAGAGTTAACACAGCAATAGCTCAAGATGTCCAACAGATGTAAAAGGATGTTCCTAAATCGCAGTAAACAAAAAAACGGAAATCTCCCAGCTAGCATT